CCAACATGGTAAAACCCCGTCCCTACTAAAACATACAAAAATTGGGGCTGGGCCCGGTGGCTTGCGCTTGTAATTCCAGCACTTTTGGAGGCTAAGGCAGATGGATCACAAGGTCAGGAGTTCAAGACCAGCCTAGCCAAGATGGTGAAACCCTGTCTCCACTAAAAATACAAAAAAATTAGCTGGGCGTGGTGGCGGGTACCTGTAATCCCAGCTACTTTGGAGGCTGAGGCAAAGAACTGCTTGAACCCAGGAGGCAGAGGTTGCAGTGAGCCGAGATCGTGCCACTGTAGTCCTGCTTGGTCACAGAGTAAGACTCTGTCTCAAAAAAAAAAAAAAAAAAAATTAGCCAGGCTTGGTGGACACATGCCTGTAATCCCAGCTACTGGGGAGGCTGAGGCAGGAGAATTGCTTGAACCTGGGAGGCAGAAGTTGCAATGAGCCAAGATTGCACCACTGCACTCCAGCCTGGATGACAGAGCAAGACTCCGTCTCAAAAAAAAGTTGCTACTAGCATCTACATTTTACACAGCAATAGGTGACTGAAACAGAAGTTGGCAGCTGGAAGTGGGGTGCTGTTGTACCAAATATCTAAAGTCAGTGGTACTGGCTCCAGGACTGGGTGGCAAGCAGAGACCTGGTAGGCCAGGCGTAGTGGCTCACACCTGTAATCCAAGCACTTTGGAGGCCAAGGCAGGCAGATCACCTGAGGTCAGGAGTTCAAAACCAGCCTGACCAACACGGTGAAACCCTGTCTTAAATAAATAAATACATAAAACAGAGTAATCCCAGCACTTTGGGAGGCTGAGGCAGGTGGATCACCTGAGGTCAGGAGTTCAAGACCAGCCTAGCCAACATGGTGAAATCTGGTCTCTACTAAACATACAAAAATTAGCCAGGTCTGGTGGCTCAAGTCTGTAATCTCAGCTACTCAGGAGGCTGAGGCCGGAGTATTACTTAAGCCCGGGAGTCAGAGGTTCCAGTCAGAGCTGAGATGGAGCCACTGCACGGCAGCGTGGGCGACAGAACAAGACTTGGTCTCAAAATAATAATAATAATAATAAAATAAATATCTATAGGGCTATGTGCACCTACACACCAACAACAAGACAAGTTCCCCCTGGTTTCTCCGCCCGTGACAGTGAAACTTCCTGTGTGATCTTTACTTTCCTCTTCCCTCTGCCCTCTTTTCCCTGCCCCTCTGCTCCCCCCACTCCGAGTGCAGTTCCGTGCTGCAGGAGGCCCCTTCCCTGAGGCTGTTCCTGCAGGGGTGTTCATGCCTCTATGAGTGCCCATTTTACTTAACACAGGTTCCCTCTTCCTCCATTTGGGCCCTCTTCCCTCTGCAGGCTTTCCTCTGCCTCTGTGTGTCTGATGCCAGGGCTCCGTCCTTGGCCCTCCTCCTGTTCTCCTCACCCTCTGTGTTGCCAGGGACCTCTCATCTAGGGCTTTGGTGTTAGGGACCTCCCAGGGCATGATGGTTTCAGGTCTGTGCTTCCCCCTTTCCTTTCTCCCCAGAGCCTTCCTGACTTCCTAACTTTTTTTTTTTTGAGACAGAGTTTTGCTGTTGTTACCCAGACTGGAGTGCAATAGCACGATCTCGGCTCACCGCAACCTCCGCCTTCTGGGTTCAAGCAATTCTCCTGCCTCAGCCTCCCGTGTAGCTGGGACTACAGGCGAATACCACCATGCCCAGCTAATTTTTGTATTTTTAGTAGAGACAGGATTTTACCTTGTTGACCAGGATTTTACCTTGTGATCCACCCGCCTCTGCCTCCCAGAGTGCTGGGATTATAGGCGTGAGCCACCGTGGCCGGCCACATTTTTGCCTTTTTAAAATCTCCCCTGGAAGGTCCCATAAGCTCCTCAGGCCTTGTGTAACTCAGAGCTCCCGATAGCCAACCCCTCCTCCCCATGGGCCCCAGCCCTAGTGCCCAGGCCAGAAACCCTGAACTCCCCAAGTCAGCTTTTTTCCCAGCTCACTTCCCACCCAGCAGCAAATCCCATCAATGGTGCAGTAGCTCAGAACTGCCTGTGATCTGTGCCCCTCTCTGTTCCCCTCTGCCCTTCCAGCTCCTTTTCCTCCCTGCACAATTCCTGCAGCCTCCTGGTCCTTCCCCACCACTCCCTCCCTGGGAGTGCATCTCTGCTTACAGCTCTCCAACAGATTCCCATGGCACACAGGGCTAAAGCTCGGAGTCGCAGCCTCCAAAGACACTGCCCACCCTTCTCACCTCATCTCAGGCCTCCTTCTCCCTCGTCCTCTCTTCTCCGACCACCCCAATCCCCTTGCACCCTCTTGAGCACACCCAGCTCAGGCAGTCCTGCAGCATACCTTCGTGCTGCCCAGGACGCCCTTCCCCCAGAGCTCCCTGGAAAGGCTTTCCTGAGCTCCCCAGTTGGAGAGACCCTGGCCCTCCAACCACTCTTCGTTCTGGGTTCCTCTTAGATCACCAGCTCCAGGGGAGGAGGGACTTTCCCTGCCTGAGCAAAACTGAGCCCTCAACCCAAACCTAAGCTGGGTATTGCCACTCTAGGACATCTTGAGCCCCATCTTCCAGGCAGTGGGGAGGGGGGTCTCTGCACTTGTGCTGTTAATAACAGTTGCTTCCAGGGATAATCTAAAGGCATTTCAGTAGCCCCCAGATCCTGCCCCAGAAATGCGCCAGGGTGCCTGTTGCCCACTGAGTTTGAGCAGCCTTAGGATTGGGGGTCAAGCAGAGAAGCCAAAGTTCCAGGCAGAACTGGCTTCTTGGGCCTGCAACCTGGGCAGTCACAGAGGGCCCCAGGCTCAGAATGGCCCCATACTTGGGTTTTTGTTATTTTGTTTTGTTTTGAAACAGGGTCTCGCCCTGTCGCCCAGGCTGGAGTGCAATGGTGCTATCTCAGCTCCCTACAACCTCTGCCTCCCAGGATCAAGTGATTCTCCTGCCTCAGCCTCCTGAGTAGCTGGGACTACAGCACACATCACCACACCTGTTAATTTTTAGTAGAGCTGGGGTTTCGCCATGTTGGCCAGGCTGTCTCAAACTCCTAATCTCAAGTGAGCCACCTGCCTCTACCTCGCAAAGTGCTGGGATTACAAGCAGAAGCCACCGCACCCGGCCCCTACTTGGTTTAAATTCTATGCTATTGCCATCTTGAAATTTATTTATTTATTTATTATTTTTGGGAGGGGGAAGGAAGGAAGGAGAGAGATGGAAGGAAGGGAGGAAGGTATTTATTATTGTTTTTGAGTTGGAGTCTCACTCTGTCACCTAGACTGGAGTGCAGTGGCACCATCTCGGCTCACTGCAATCGCCTCCTGGATTCTAGTGATTCTCCTGCCTCAGCCTCCCGAGTAGCTGTGATTACAGTCACCTGCCACCACACTCAGCTATTTTTGTTTTTTTTTCTTGAGATGGAGTCTTGCTCTGTGTCGCCAGGCTGGAGTGCAGTGGTGCTGTCTCAGCTCACTGCAACCTCTGCCTCCCAGGTTCAAGTGATTTCAAGCCTCAGCCTCCTGAGTAGCTGAGATTACAGGCACACACCACCATGCCCAGTTAGTTTTTTGTATTTTAGTAGAGATGGTTTCACCATGTTGGCCAGGATGGTCTCCATCTCCTAACCTCGTGATCCACCTGCCTCAACCTCCCAAAGTGCTGGGATTACAGGCATGAGCCACCACACCAGGCCCATACTTGGTTTTAATTATATGCTATTGCCATCTTAAAATTTTTTTTTGAGTTGGAGTCTCACTCTGTTACCTAGACTGGAGTGCAGTGGCGTTATCATGGTTCACTGTAACCTCCGCCTCCCAGGTTAAGTGCTGCTCCTGCCTCAGCTGAGTAGCGGGCAATACAGGCACCTGCCACCACACCCGGCTATTTTTTATATATTTTTAGTAGAGATGGGGTTTTACCATGTTGGCCAGGCTGGTCTCAAACTCCTGAACTCAAGTGATCCACCCACCTGGGCCTCACAAAGTGCTGGAATTATATGTGTGAGCCACCATGCCCAGCCTATCTTGAAATTCTTAGTAACTTTATTTTTATTGTTTATTTTTTTAGAGACTGGGGTCTCACTATGTTGTCCAGGCTAGCCTTGAACTCCTGGGTTCAAGCTCTCCCACCTCAGATTCCTGAGCAGCTGGGACTACAGGCATACACCATTGCACCCCTCTCAATAACTTTCTATTTCATGGAGCCCTACAAATTATGTAGCTGCTCCTGGATGCAGGGACGCTCAGCTGACATTGCCTGAAGACCTGGAAAGCCAGGTGCTGCTTCCCCTGGGACCCCATGGCCCATAGCCTTCTCAGCTTCCAAACAGCCGCCAGCACCCAGGAGGCCTCAGATCCTGCAGTGAGAGTTGGGGAATCCACTGGACAAGTGAGCGTGGGCCTGGGTTCCAGCAGGGACGGAGAGCAAGTGTCAGAGGCACCAGGCAGGGGTTCCAGCGGGGACGGGAAGTGGGTGTCAGGGCCGCCGGGTGAGGGTTCCAGCAGGCACAAGGAGCAGGTGCCAGGGGTGCTGCACATTCTCCCTCCTAGGAGGCCCTGGACACTGGCCCCGGACTCTCATACCCACCCCCTCAGAGGCAAGTGGAAGCAGCTTTGTGGTTAGGAGAGAAGCATGCGCCCCCAGGCACAGGGCTTGTCTAGCTGTACACCACCCCATTGCTGGTTGGACTAGCAGCAGGCACCAGGCTCAGAATGGACCAATCAGATTCTGACTCCTGGATTCCACGCATTGGTCAGCACCTCTGAGGTCAGAGAGGACAAGTTAAGCGCCGCTGGCTAAGAAGGGCTGGAGTTCCCAGCCTCTCAAGAGATGGGCCCAACCCAGCGGCCTGGCTCTATTCCATCCCTTGTTCCCAGCTGCTGTTCCTGTGTTCGAACCCAAGCTCTGGGGTTTGCTTCAGTCGCCTGGAAGGCACAGGCTCCCAAAGGTCCTAGGAGTGCACCATGGTGCAAGCCAGAGGCACCAGAGCACCTCCCCTGCCCCCATAAAATGACCGTGTGGAAGCTGAGGCAACTTTATTGAAAGGAAGGCCAGTGAGTGGGACTCATATTTGATCTGCCCCAGAGTGGGGCGCTGGGAGGCTGAGGAGAACGCAGTCCTGGGGTGGGGGTGGCCCTCGGAGTCACACCTCCAGGTTGGACTGAGAGGAGCTGGGCTTGCCCACGAGGTTCTTGCGAGACACGTTGCCGCCGCTAGAGGGTGGCCAGTGGCGAACTACGTGCCGGTAGGAGGTGGCCAGGTAGTCGAAGTAGTTGATGTTGAGTTTCTGGGCCATGTAACGGCCCAAATATTCCATTTGCTGCGGAGGCAGGTGGCGCTCAACTCGGGCCGGGACAGGACAGACGCCAGTTGCCACGAGGGCGACTCCTTCCCTTTCCAGGCAGCATTCCCGGTTCTGCCCGCAGCCCTGGCGCCCTCTCCACGGCCCCCAGCGACCAGGACCGCGCCGTATTTACCCTCTGCGTGCGAAACAGCCCCACCCAAAGACCCTAAACAGCGACCGGTGTCATCGTGTCCCGAGGAGGGCACGTGTCTGGATGGGACCCACCTCGTAGCGCTCCGACAGCTGCACCAGCACCAGGGGCTCCAACCTGTGGCCACCGAGGACCAGCTGGAAGAAGCGCCTTCCGTAGGCTGCGGGAAAAGTGGGCTCAGCCGGCCTGCACGCCCTGCCGCGCTCCCAAGTGGCCTCCCCATCCCGGTCCGTCCCAGGCGTCACCGTCGGAGCTGAACGCCAGGCGCACGTAGACCAGGTGCAACGGGCCCTGGCACACAGTGCGGCCCTGGATGGAGAAGTGGTACACGCCGCGCATGTGGTTCAGCACCAGGCGGCGCCGCGGCAGCGAGGAGACCACCATCCACAAGCCCACGCCCACGCCGTACGCAGGGAAGACCCAGGTCTCCTGCTTCTTCACCTGTGGGCGGGCGCCGCGGGGAGCGTCTGAGTGGGTGAGGGCGGGCCCGCAGGGGCGGAGTGCAGTGGGGTGGGACCCGGGAGCTCACACCTCTCTCAGGGAGCTGACGCTGACCAGGACTGCGCAAACGATGAAGAGCAGCATCCCTTTCCACAGCGTGTCCAGGTAGTACTCGAGCACGAAGACTAGGGGCGGTGCGGCGTGTGAGGACGCCCCGGCCGCCCGCAGCTGGGGGTGGCGGCGCCAGGTCTTTGCCTGGAGTAGCTGGGTCCGCGCAGGACTCGGGGCGGCAGCTGCAACTAGCCAGCTGCGTTTCCACCCCCAGGAACACGGGCCGGCCCCGCCCAGGGCCCCCGGCCCTGCCCACCCGGCTCCGCTCCATTCAGGACTCGCTCCACCCCGCACGCACCATTTGGCTGCTGCTGCTCGAATGGGTAGAAGCTATTGTTCTTAAGGCGCCTGGCCAGGTGGCGCTCCCGGCAGAAGAGTCCTAGGGACCACAGCCGGAAGCGCCCGCCGAAGGAGGTCGTGCGCAGGCCGCGAGCCCGGCCCTTACGGTTCTGCTTCTTAGGGATCTGGGTCAAGCAGAAGTGGTCAGCCTGGCCGCTCGCCCGCTGCCGTTGCCCACTGCCCACAGCGGCGCTCCTACCTGGCTGAGCAAATTCTCCAGGGCTGCAGGCCCAAGAAGGGGCAGGAGCTCACAGACAACTGACAGGGCAGCAAGGCCAGGTAGCGGCCCAGAGTGGACCGCGCGCGCGTTCTAGAAGTTCTGGGCGGGTTCTAGAAGGGGCCACTCTGTTGACCACCCCTTAGGGTGTGCCGGACTGAGATCCCACAGTGGGAATGAGCTTCTTGGCCAGTCCATGCACTGGAGGCTCCTGTATGGCCTATTCATAGTCCTCATCTGAAGGGTGGATGGGTGGACACCCCAGGCCGGAGGTGGAGAGAAATCTGCAGGCAGAGACCCCTCAATGCCTCAATGAACCCCACCTCTACACCCACATGCAACCCCTGACAGCTCACCAGTGTTCCCGAGAGTGGAACATACACACTGGATCCCGCAGTTGGCAGGCAAAGGCATAGCCACCTGCAGGCTCAAGAACCCTTGGGCCACTATGACCCCACAACACACAGGCTCTGGGCTGGCTGTAGCCCCAGTGACACCATCAGGTATAACCTGTTGCCCAACCCTACCCTAAGGACCACACAGAGCTCCTAAAAAAGTTTTATTTTAACAAAATGCTCCAATATCTGAAACTGGGCAAAGGTGGGTGGGGGGCAGGCTGGCTGAGGTGTCCCAAGTCTGTGGCTGCCTAGCTGGGTGAGGGGCTGGTGAGCAGCTGCTCCAGACACCACTGGACTTCCTCCAGGCCCCGGTAGGCCCGCTTCAGGCCCCGGGGAAGGCAGCGGCAGGACTCCAGGTTGAGGTAGAGCAGGCCTGGGCAGCTGCTGATCACAGAGCTGTGGGCAGGGTAGGCCACACGAAGTTGAGCCATTGCCCAGAAGACTTGCCTCAGAAGGGCTTGGGCCAAGCTAGGGAGCTGTGCCTGCTGGTGTTCCACACCTGGCTCTGCCACCCATAGCCACCAAGGCCAAGCCCAGTTGCCCTGGTGTCCCCAAGCCCACCCCACAAAGGGGCTTGGACAGTACACATGCTCCTCTGACCCCTGGAGGTCTCAGGCCAGGCAGGACACCACTTTCAGGCCCCAGGCAAGACTCGGTGACAGCCACACTGGCTCCAGGGACTGGGGGAGGGGATGCTGACCTGACTGTGCTTGGTGTGACCCTGGTGCCCCTGAGATTAAGGGAGCACAGGGCTGGGTGCAAGCCCCCAGGGGTGCTTAAGAAGGCAGCCAGGGCCTGCTCCAGGTCCTTCTCACTGAACCCCTGGCCACTCAAGTCCAGTTCTCGCAGGGTGCGGCACCACTTCTGGGTCAACAGGGGGCTGCCCTCCTTGGCTAGAGTCAGCCGGTCTGAGGTGCCATACAAGCCCAGATGAAGCTGCTCCAGCTCTGCGGTGAGAGGAGTGAGCATAAGCTGCTGGGTGGCAAGGGCCCCCACACCTCACCCACCCGGCCACCACCCAGGACCGCTGACCCTGGCATGGCAGATCCTGAAGGCCAGCTGGCGTGACGCGTGCACAGCCACGAAGATCCAGCAAGCGCAGGTTGGGAGAGCCATGGAGCAGGCGGTCCAGGACCTCGTTGCTCACAAAGTTGCAGGTGGAGCTCGCCAGGCAGAGCTCCTCCAGGCTGGGGAAGCCTGGCCCGGGAGCTGCCCCTCGTCCAGGAGGCTTGGGCAGCCACATCAGGTTCAGCAGCCGCAGCACCTGGGGACAAGGCCTAGGCTGTAGCTGGGGGAGGGTGTCACAGGTGGGAGGGGTGGAGAACCAGGTACCTGGAGCTGGGGACAGCCTTTCTGCAGAGCCTCGACAGGGAGCTGGAGGGGAATGCTGTTGCGGTTGATGTCAGTGCTGACCTCCAGGACCTGGAGCTGGGGGCAGCAGCTGCCCTGCAGAGGTAGGGGGGTGTTACGGGGTCAGTGGTTTGGCAGCCCCCAGCTCAGCAACTGGCTCTGCTCCCACCAATGCCAACGTACCAGCAGTGCGCTCAGGATGGCTGTTGTCTGGGAGCTGTAGGTCAGCCACAGCTTGCGCATTCGGGGCCCTGCCTCCTCCAAGAAGCTCACCACAGCTGTGGACTCCACCTGGGGCCCCAGTACAAGAGAACCTGTCACCCTGGCCTGGGTTTTTTCGGGGCCCCTTGGGACACAGGGCTCACCATGGAGTGCTGTAGGTCCAGGCTATGGAGCTGGCAGCAGGCTTTGGCTACCATGACCAGAGCATCAGCAGTCACACCGTGGCAGCCGGAGAGTTTGAGGAAGGTGAGCCGAGGACAGGACTCACCTACCAGCTGCGGGGAGACAGAGGGCCAGCTGGGGTTGGGAAAGGGCAGGCTAATATCCACGAGGGAAACAGACAGGTGGCTGGTGCCAACCCCACTTTACCACCCTAGCTGTGACCTCCTTTCTGCCCATGTCAGGTCTACCTGGGTGTCCCTGCCTCTGACACCTCCCTGCTGGAGGAAACAGCAGGAAAGGAGAACCAAGCAGGCAGGCAGGCAGGCATCTCCATGGAGCAGCGTTGGGCCCCCAAGGTGCCTGACCCACTTCCTAGAACAGTCCTGAACAGTCCCAAAGGGTCACAGCTGGTGTGCAGGGCAGCCTGAAGCTCTCACCTTTAACACGGGGTGTACCTGAGACTTCCAGTGGATGAGGGTCAGCCTCTGGAGCTGTGAAAACCTGGGCCGACAGCAGAGGCAGAGCTGCACTAATGTTCCCACAAGAGTCCTTCCCACCCAAAACCCTGGTGCAGGGAAACAGAAAGGGCCTGGAGCCAGGAGATAAGGAAAAGAGGGAACCCCTCACCGACTGGGCATAAGCCACTCCAGGGAAGCAAGGAGTTTCTTCTCCGCCTTGACCCTGCCGTTGGCAGGCCGGCTGGCCAGCGGGGGCGACAGGGTCACGGTGTGCCAGAGCGCGGGTTGGGAGGCGGCCTCCTGCCAGCGGCGACACACGCGCGCAGCCCTGGGAGAACAGCGCTGTTGAGGGTACCGGCCCCTTCGTAGACGAGCCCCCCTCTCGCAGGGCAGTGCACAGCCGGCTCAAAGCTAGGCCCCTGGGGCTCCAACTGGGCGCCTAAGGGACTGAGCTCTCGGACGGCGCGGTGTGCGCTCGGATGCTTTCGCCCTCCGCCCCCGCCCGGGCCACCGCTCGGACCTCATCTGGCCCAAGCCGCTGAGCTCGGCGGCGGACCCGACAGCAGCGTTACCTGCCGAGGAAGGGCATGGGCCCGTCCGCCGCCACCAGCAACCTGAAAATCTGCACCAGGATTTCCAAGGGAATGCGGTCTCCCCAGCCCGCGTCTAGCCCGTCCGCGGGCTCGGGCGCGGCCGCCGGCTCGGGCCTAAGCCTGGCCTTGGGCTTGGGCTTGGGCTTGGCGGCGGCGCGGGGGCCCGGGGGCGGCTGCCGGGGAGCGCGGCGGGTAGCGCGCCGCTGTGCTCGCGATCGGGCGGACCCGGGTTCCGACAGCACCAGCAGCATGCTGTCGGACTGCAGCAGGTGGTACCCCGAGCCGCTCGGCGCCAGCCGGTCCCACCACCAGTCCTCGGCCGAGCGGGCCCGCGGCGCTGCCCGGGCTCTGTGCCGAACCCGACGAGACGCCGAGGCCGCCATGGCCACGGACTGCGCTCGGGGCAGTCCCAGGGAGCGGAAGGGGCGGTCCCATGGAGCGGAAGGGGCGGGCCTACAGACCGACAACCCCCCGGCTCCGCTCAGAGCCAGCCTACGACCCGCTTCCGGGGCGGGACTTCCGGCCGTGGGCCGCGCTTGGGGGCGGGCCCGGAGCCGTAGTGGATGTATCGGATCGTGGCTGGCGCCGGGCCGTCAGCGCTCTGGACTGAGGTGGCGTTCCCGGGCCGGACGACGGCGTCCTGGCGTGGCCGGAAGCCGGCATTGGAGCGGGAGCGCACGGGGCGCTGGACCGGGAAGCGCAGGGACCGGACTGCGGCCGGGTCACCCACCTGATGCTGGCGAGAGGGCGGTGCCCATCCGAGCAGAGCCACCCCGGCCACTCCCCTGGCATCTGACTTGCCTCCAGCGGTCCCGGGCACTCAGAAGCCCTGGGGCGTGCGTGGCTCCTGCTGGTAGGTGCCCTGGCCTGGGGTCCGGCTTGGGGTGGTGGTTGCGGTGACTCCAGCCCCGCCTCGCTCTGAGCAGGAGGCCCCACCCGCTCTGTCGGCCTCCTCCCCTCGGGCCGCGGAACCTCGGGCCGGCTTCTCGCTTTCCTGCCTGCCTGCGGTCCAGACTCTGACGGGCTGTGCTGCTGGGCACGTTTGAGCCAATCCTCCCCATCCCCACTCCTGCCCGGTGCTCCTGCAGCTCCCCTGTTGTTGGTGGTCTCACCCTGTTCTGACTCCGGCTCTGTATCCTCCGTGCTTGTCTCTTTCTTTCAAGCTAAAAGAGGTCTTAAGTTCCCAGAATAGTCAAGCGTCTCTGGACCTCGGTGGGAAAAGAACTGGCTGTGACCTTTGTCCTGACCTGGAGGGGCCTAGCCTCGGGCTGAATGGCAGCACCCACGCCCGGCCATCCGGTGCTGACCCACCTGCTAGTGGCTCTCTTCGGCATGGGCTCCTGGGCTGCCGTCAATGGGATCTGGGTGGAGCTACCTGTGGTGGTCAGAGACCTTCCTGAGGGTGAGTGGGAGGAGGTGCAGGTGGGCCCAGGAAGGTGGACTTTGGCTTCCCTTGGGCATCATGCCCCTGACATGGCCTCCTCCCTTCCCTGCAGGTTGGAACCTCCCCTCCTACCTCTCTGTGCTAGTGGCTCTGGGGAACCTGGGTCTGCTGGTGGTGACCCTCTGGAGGCGGCTGGTCCCAGGAAAGGGCGAGCAGGTCCCCATCCGGGTGGTGCAGGTGCTGAGCATGGTGGGCGCAGCCCTGCTGGCCTCTCTGTGGCACCATGTGGCCCCAGTGGCAGGACAGCTGCATTCCGTGGCCTTCCTAGCACTAGCCTTCGTGCTGGCGCTGGCATGCTGTGCCTCTAATGTCACTTTCCTGCCCTTCCTGAGCCACCTGCCACCTCACTTCTTACGGTCGTTCTTCCTGGGTCAAGGCCTGAGTGCCCTGCTGCCCTGCATGCTGGCCCTAGTGCAGGGTGTGGGCCGCCTTGAGTGCCCACCAGCCCCCACCAACGGCACCCCTGGTCCCCCGATCAACTTCCCTGAGCGTTTTCCCGCCAGCACCTTCTTCTGGGCACTGACCACCCTTCTGGTCACTTCAGCTGCTGCCTTCCAGGGTCTCTTGATGCTGTTGCCATCACCACCATCTGTACCCACAGGGGGCTTAGGGTCAGGCCTCCAGGTGGAAGCCCCAGGAGCAGAGGAAGAGGTGGAAGAGGCCTCGCCATTGCAAGAACCACCAAGCCAGGCAGCAGGCACACCCCCTGGTCCAGACCCTAAGGCCTATGGGCTTTTCTCGGCCCGCAGTGCCTGCCTGCTGGGCCTGCTGGCCACCACCAATGCACTGACCAACGGTGTGCTGCCTGCTGTCCAGAGCTTTTCCTGCTTACCCTATGGGCGTCTGGCCTACCACCTGGCCGTGGTACTGGGCAGTGCTGCCAATCCCCTTGCCTGCTTCCTGGCCATGGGTGTGCTGTGCAGGTACACAAGGGCCCCCCAGCCCCTGGGTGGGTGGAACTCAGGGCTGGGAGCCAGGTCCTGGCACAGTCAGCCCTTACTCTCTGCTCACCCACTGCAGGTCCTTGGCAGGGCTGGGCGGCCTCTCTCTGCTGGGCGTGCTCTTTGGGGCCTACCTGATGGCGCTGGCAATCCTGAGCCCCTGCCCACCCCTTGTGGGCACCTTGGCAGGAGTGGTCCTCGTGGTGAGCACAGGGGGGCATGACATGGGGCGGGGGTATTCCCCTGGAGCAGGTGCATCTCACGTTCAGCCTGCTGCTGTGTCCCCTCAGGTGCTGTCATGGGTGCTGTGTCTGGGCGTGTTCTCTTACGTGAAGGTGGCAGCCAGCTCCCTGTTGCATGGTGGGGGCCGGCCGGCATTGCTGGCAGCTGGTGTGGCCATCCAGGTGGGCTCTCTGCTCGGTGCTGTTGCTATGTTCCCTCCTGTCAGCATCTACCACATGTTCCACAGCAGAAAGGACTGTGCAGACCCTTGTGGCTCCTGAGCCTGGGCAGGTGGGGACCCGGCTGCCCCATGCCTGTATTTACCTCAATGCTGCCACCGTGCCTGAATGCCGCAGCCCAGGAAGTCCCCAAGCCAGAACACTCGTGGACACTCACACACTCCATAGGAGACCCTGGCTCTCCAGGTGGGGGTCAGGGGCAAAGACCAGGCTTGGAGCCAGGGACTGGTTGGGGCTGTAGGGTAAGCCCCGGGGCCTGGGACCTACATGTGGCTTGTGTAATAAAACATTTTTATGTAATGAGTTGGCATTAATTCTTTGAGAATTTCTCTTTGTATGGATGCTTCCCTGAGCCAGAGCTATGGCCTGGCCTATTTAGCAGGAGCTGCCTCTCCCCAGGCCCTGGGCAGGTCCTTGCCCTCTGTAGTCTGGTCTCACGGATCGTGCAGTCATACCCTCTGAGCCCAGACTCCCCCACACTGCTTCTTGGAACTGCCCTGAGGTCTCTGGGCCCACATAATCTACCATGCTCAGAAGAGTAGGGGGCTCTCCTCCAGGCAAGGCCACTGCTCCACAAGCATCTCTCAAGGGCATGAGGGTCAGTCAGGATGGGGCTGTGACATGCTGAGTTCCCGGTCTACCCTCACTCCTGGGGTGACTCCTTGCCTGCCTGCTAGGGATTTACACCAGGGGGTTGGTGTGCAGACCCTGGGATGCTCAGTACGGGGGGACTCAGAAGAGATAGAGTTTAAGATTCTAGCCCATCGAGACCCTTCGGCCTGAGCATTGCCGCCTCCCCTGAGCCTCCAGCCTCTCAGCGCCAGCTTCTCCTGCAATCAGACCCCCAAAGGTGTGAAACTCTTTCTTCAGGCAGACTTGGCTACAGCTGCCTTCTCCCTGAGCTGCTGGCACACTGCCCCAGCCCTGGGCAGCCTGAGTCTGTGCATGTTGGCATTGGCAGGGAGCAGGGCCTCAGCACTGACTATGGCCTGTTCTGGGCTGGGTGGTTTCTAAGGCTCCCACAGAAAGGGCTGGAGCTGCAGAGGAACTAACGGAGAGGAGCCCCTGAGCTTGGCAGCAAGAATCTGGAAGAACATGCTGGGGGAGGCTGTGCCAAGGTGAGAGCCTGGCTTTTTTTACCGCGTGGGCAGCCACCCAAGGAGGGGAGCACCAGACTAATCCAGTGTGACTGGCCTGGCAGCAAAGCCTGTTCTCACAGGCAAGAGGCCCCACTTCTGCAGCGGGGCCCCTGCAGCTGCAGGGAGTGGGCAGGCAGGCACTGGGGAAGATGGGTCTGTTCCTGCTGCCCAAGTGCCACCTACAATGTTCCGCTCTCCGGACGCTTTTTCTGACTGTCCTTGAGTCGGCCTGCACACGGGCCTTTGAAGGGCCTGGCCTTCCTCCCTGCTTCTGCTCCCTCCTGTCTTGGCAGGACCATCGAAGGAGGAAGGAGCTCCCATGACAGGAAAAGCCTCTGGTCTGGGGCCCCATCAAACGTCAGGAGCGGGCCAGCTTCCAGAGGACTCAGGACCTCCCAGCTCTGAGAGCAGAGGTCACCGCCAGGTCCAGCCTTCCATGATGCCGCTGCCTGAGGCTTGACCCCTGCCCAGCTGACCTGGCTACTTCCCTTTGGGGGTTGCAGGTATTGAGGACTCTACGGGATGGGGGCTGCAGGTTGGGTGTGAGCTTCAGAAGTCACCTGGTAAGAGAAGAAAGATTCCGAGGGACGATGAGGACAAGAATGGGAAGAAGCAGGTAGTATTGGTGGCAGCCATGGACAGCAGGGCTCCTGGTCTCATGCTTGCTTCCTTCCCCTCATCACTCTGTCCCTGCCCCTGTCAGCCCTGGTGCTTGGGGCCTGCCCACTCCTGTCCACCCTGGGCTGGAAGCTGGTGGAGCGACCTCCCAACTTCCTCCTGGCTTCCTTCCCATAGAGCAGCGATCAAAGGCATCCATGGAGCCTCTGCTCTGTGCCACACATGAGCCGCAGTCCCCAGGGCCACAGAGAAGCAAGGCGCACAGGCCTGAGTGAGGAATCCGCTGCCTTCTGAAGTCCCTGTGAGCTTCCTGCCCATATCCCTGTTATTATTTTCCTACAGCAGGAACTGGGGCGGGGGTCAAAATAATAACAGCAGGAAAGTGCCTCAGCTTTGAGTGCTGCTTACTTATGGTTTCCCAGGGTTGAGTCCAGGGCCAAGGCCAGGCCCTGCAGAGGCAGAATAGCCTGCCATGAAGGGCCCGCCGGGGCCAGGATGCCCACCACCACCAGCTGCACAGCAGGTGGCCAGAGGCTTCTGGAGACTGCCTCAGCACTTTGGGAGGTTGAGGAAGACGGATCACCTGAGGTGAGGAGTTTAAGACCAGCCTGGCCAACATGACAAAACTCCATCTCTTGTCTAAAAATACAAAAATTAGCTGGGTGTGGTAGCAGGCGCCTGTAATCCAGCTACTGGGGAGGCTGAAGCACAAAAATCACTTGAACGTGGGAGAAGGGGGTTGCAGTGAGCCGAGATCATGCCGTTGAGCTGAGATCGTGCCGTTGCACTCTAGCCTGGGCAACAGAGTGAGATTCTCTCAGGAAAAAAAAGAAAAAATGTCC